TCCGGCACTCAGTGTGTCAGTCCGCACCACATTCAGTCCGTGAGTGCGTCTACACTGGGTCCGTCGGTCCGTGCACACCCGGTCCGTCCACACCGGGTCCGTCAGTCCGTCACATCCTCTGCGCGTGTGTTCGGCACTCGCAGTCCGTCTATTCACGGCCCCTAGTCAGCCTCTCACTCTATCCGCTGGGAGGTACCCCGCATCTTGCTCTGGCCACCCCAGACGTTCGCGGCTTCTGGACCTGCTGTACTCCCCTTTGACCTGGACCAGGGCGGAGAACACCCCCGAAACCCACCTCACCAGCACAGTCGGCGGACCCTTCCGGAGGTGCCCGCAGAGACGAGCCAGCTTGCGCGCCCGCCACCCCGGACCACAGCTCCCAGCACGCCCCACGGGCCCACGCCCGCCAGGACTACAATTCCCGGCGTCCTCCGGAAGCTCAAGCGTACCCAGGCGCGGCGCCTGCTGGGAATTATAGTTGTCGTTGGTCAGCACGCGGGCCACGGGATCCCAGCCCCGCCTCTGTGGGACTGAGGTGGCGCTGAGTGGGAGAGCAGCAGGGGATGCGCGAAAGGCGGGACGTGGAGGTGAGAGAAGTGTGAAGGCTGAGGGTGAGGGTGGCTGTGTGAGGGCTGAGGGTGTGGGTGCCTGTGTGAGGGTGAGGCTGAGGGTGGCTGTGTGAGGGCTGAGGGTGAGGGTGCCTGTGTGAGGGCTGAGGGTGAGGGTGCCTGTGTCAGGGTGAGATTGAGGGTGGCTGTGTGAGGGCTGAGGGTGGTTGTGTGAGGGCTAAGGGTGAGGGTGCCTGTGTGAGGGTGAGGGCTGAGGGCAGCTGTGTGAGGGCTGAGTGTGAAGGTGCCTGTGTGAGGCTGAGGGTGGCTGTCTGAGGGTGAGGATGGCTGTATGAGGTCTGAAGGTGCCTGTGTAAGGGCTGAGGGTGCCTGTGTGAGGCTGAGGGTGCCTGTGAGAGGTTGAGAATGCCTGTGTGAGGGCTGAGGGTGGCTGTGTGAGGGCTGAGGCTGAGGGTGCCTGTGTGAGGCTGAGGGTGTCTGTGTGAGGGCTGAGGGTGTCTGTGTGAGGGCTGAGGGTGGTTGTGTGAGGATGAGGGTGCCTGTGTGAGGGCTGAGGGTGGTTGTGTGAGAGTGAGGGTGCCTGTGTGAGGGCTGAGGATGGCTGTGTGAGGTTGAGGGTGCCTGTGTGAGGGCTGAGGATGGCTGTGTGAGGGCTGAGGGTGCCTGTGTGAGGGCTGAGGATGGCTGTGTGAGGGCTGAGGGTGCCTATGTGAAGGCTGAGGGTGCCTGTGTGAGGGCTGAGGGTGAGGGTGACTGTGTGAAGGTTGAGGGTGAGCATGCCTTTGTGAGGGCTGAGGGTTAGGGTGGCTGTGTGAGGGCTGAGGGTGAGGGTGCCTGTGTGAGTGTGAGGGAGCCATGCCACTTGCACACCCTCCTTCTGCTCCTAACTCCCAGGAAGGGCAAGGGGGTCACTGGCCTTGGGGTTCCACAGAAAGAGGATTCCTGATTTGATGCTTAAGACCTGTGCCTCAGACGCCTGCCTCTATAACAGAAAGCCGTCCACACAGACACCCCACCTCATCTGGGTACCTCCTCTGGACCTAGGCTGGGTCTTCATAGGCAGCCACAGCCACCTGTGCTGCTGCCCCCACATTGCCTCTGGCTTTGGGCTTCTCAAGGACTTGCTGTGTGATGCTGAGTTCCTTAACATGGGGACGATGTGTTGGAATGTGGCAGTGTTCAGGCCCTGGTAGCCAAATAAGGGGACCCACTTCCACCAAATGACAGCAGCAGCTCCCCTTTCCTGAGCACCTCCTGCAGGTCAGGCCAGCCAGCAAACACCTTTGGTGGTACTCTCAACCAATCAAAGGGGAGGTATTATCATTACTGTCTTTTACAGGTTGGGAAACTGAGGCACAGAGAAGTTAAACCAAAGGTTGTTTGGTAAAGTGACTGGCAGGCGGAGATGTGAAACTTTGTGGTTTCAAAATTACATATACATGTTTTACAAAAGTACAAGTGCTCAGCTTAGTGAATTTGGTAAATGCACAGCCCTGTGTAACTAGCATTCAAATTAAACTCTAGAATGTTCTGTGAGGATGGAAAAGTTCTGGAGTTGTGCTGTCTAATATGGCACCATCAGCTCCATGTAGCTCCTGAGTACTAGAAACATAGCTAGTCTGACTGGGAAATGGAACTTGTAATTTTATTTGAATTTAATCATACCTACCATATTGGACGGCGCAGGGCTAGGACATTTCAGCATCTTAGACAGCTCCCCTGTAGTAAGTAGCCCTTCCGGAAAAGGTGTCCCAGCCTAATTTTTTTTTAATTTTAATTTTTTTTTTTTTGAGACGGAGTTTCCCTCTGTCGTCCAGGCTGAGGTGGAATGGTTCTATCTCGGCTTATTAGAGGCTCTGTCACCCGGATTCAAGCGCTTCTCCTGCCTCAGCCTCCCGAGTAGCTTGGGATTATAGGCACCTGCCACCATGCCGGGATAATTTTTGTGTTTTTAGTAAAGACAGAGTTTCGCCATGTTGGCCAGGCTGGTCTCAAATTCCTGAGCTCAGGTGATCTACTCTCTTCGGCCCCCCAAAGTGCTAGGATTACAGGCATGAGCCACCATGCCCAGCCCAGCCTCTTCTTGAACTTCATGCAAAATTATGTGCCCTGTTATAGTCTGAGGCCTCAGCTCCATGCTATCAGGTTTCAAGGACAGCAGCCACAGGATACCTATATGAGGACTATGTGAGAACAAAGTGAGATGTCAAGTGGGTGAGTGCTCTAAAGAGAGAAAAATTGATCATTCCAGCTGTACTGAATTCAGGTCCTAACAGAGACTCCCAGGAAGGAAGGGCAGATGTGGGGTCTTTTGTTCCTTCCCACAGAGGCAAGAGTACTGAACAGACTCTTTGGGCCCTGATTTGCCCAGTACCTACACCTTCCTCCCCATCTTATTCCTAAGCTGAGAATGGCAAGTATGATGGTAGTCTGTCAGATCTAGGATCAAATCTTCACCACTCTCTGCTGTGATTCTGTGCTGCTCACATCCCTTGGGGTTTGTTTCCTATGTATAAAATGAAACCTCTTGTGAAAAGCTTTTTGCTCATTGATTAATTTAAGGAATGAATTACACTTAATGAAGTTTTGGATTTTATTAATAAAATGTATGGACATGTGTTTTTCTCTTGTTAGATAGGTACCTTTGTAACATCTTTGGTTTTCCCTCTGAGCCTACAAAGCTGACAACATTTGCTGCTTGGTTTTTTGTTTGTTTGGTTTTTGAGAGAGTTTCGCTCTTGTTGCCCAGGCTGGCGTGCAATGGTGCAATCTCGGCTCACCGCAATATCTACCTCCTGGGATCAAGCGATTCACCTGCCTCAGCCTCCTGAGTAGCTGGGATTACAGGCATGCACCACCACGCCCAGCTAGTTTTGTGTTTTTAGTAGAGACAGGGTTTCACCATGTTGGCCAGGCTGGTCTCATACTCCTGACCTCAGGTGATCCACCTGCCTTGGCCTCCCAAAGTGCTGGGATTACAGGCATGAGCCACTGCACCCAGCCTGCTGCTTGTGTTTTACAGAAGAGTTTGCCAACCATACTCTGATGGCCTGGGCAGTGATGGAGGGTTTAAAGTGAGGGGTGGCCTCACCAGTCAGGGGTAAAAGACCCTCTCTACCCAATGCTGAGTGGAGAGTGATGAAGGGGGCAATGGGAAGCAGAACTGTGAGGAGGTAGTGGCTTAGAGCAGGCTGAGGAAGGCAGGGCAGTGGAATGAAGGAAGCAGAAGCAGGGTGTGTTTTAGAGGGATATCTGGTTTCTGAAAATATCTAGCCCTATACCTGCCCTCTATACCACTGTGACTGCCACCCCACCATCTACCTCACCTGGCACCTCAGGCTCCATCACCTCACCCACTGCTCTGTCTCCACATTGCTTGGCCTCAGCAGCTACAGGGTAGGGGGCACCTGAGGTCTCAGTCCTGGGCAGAGGTCCCAGGTTGCTAGTGACTCTTGCAGAGACAGGTTTGTTTCCAGGGCCACTGCCACCTTCTCTTTGATCCTACACACCAGTGCAGCTCTAGGCTCCTGGCTTTGACTTCAGGGGCCCAGGCCTGGGATTCTGGAAATGAAGCACGGCTAATGAGCACAGGCAGCAAGGAGAGGGTGTGGTCATGGCCATACACACAGGCGCTCCTGGGACAGAGAGATACACCCAGGCCAGGCTCTTCACAAGCCTAGGTCCCACCCATGGCATCCCCTTCCCAAATTAAAAATATACATCCACACAAACACCTGTACATGAATGTTCACAGCAGTAGCATTTATAGTATCAGAAGAGTTGGCAACAACCCCAACGTCTAGAATGAGTAAACAAACTGTGGTACATCCATACAGATCTCGGCTCACTGCAACCTCTGCCTCCTGGGTTCACGCCATTCTCCTGCCTCAGCCTCCCGAGTAGCTGGGACTGTAGGCACTCGCCACTACGCCTGGCTAATTTTTTGTATTCTTTAGTAGAGACAGGGTTTCACTGTGTTAGGCAAGATGGTCTCGATCTCCTGACCTCATAATCTGCCCACCTCGGCCTCCTAAGGTGCTGGGATTACAGGCGTGAGCCACCGCGCCCAGCCTACAATGGAGTATCATTCAGCCATAAAGAAGAATGAAAAACTGATACATGCTACAACATGGATGAACTCTGAAAACATGTTCAGTGGTAAAATGCCAGACACAGGAAACCACATATTGTATAACTTCATTTATATGAAGTATCCAGAAGAGGCAAATCTAGACACATAACGTGGATTAGTGGTTGCCAGAGGCTGGAGGAAGAGCAAATAGGCAGTGATGATAACAAGTATAAGGGATACTCACACACCTGAGGTCACACCTGCACAGACAGGTGGCATCAACACATGCAGGACTGTCACGGTTGCTTCTGGACCGAACGAAGGAGGATGAATGCAGAAATGAGACAAAGACAAAAGGATCTGTTTGAAAGAAGGGGTCAGGGGGCTCCTTGATTCTAGGGAACAAGGGCCCTGAGCTTTTACAGCCCTTCATATTTATTAGGTAGAGTGAATAGGGAGGAAGGGGTAACTGTCAGTCAGCTATTTAACACAGGCCCACATGATTGCTTTCTTTGTTCAACAGGTTCTAGATGTTCCTGTAGATAACCTCAAGGAGCATGGGACCTGGGACATGACTGCCCCCAGCATTCCTTCTGGTGGCAGACACAGTTTGTCAGTTTGCCAGCATCTTGCTTTCATGAGAACAGTTTGCTGTTCGCTCATAGAGCCTCCAGTGGTATATTGAGTTGGTCACGACCCTCATTCCTTCGGCCTCCAACATCTCCCCCTTTTTGTTTTTGCATTAATTGAATAAAGGTAATTTCAGGCTGTGCAGCTTTCAATTGCTGGTTGGTGGTTCACCTGATCCTATAGACTATAAGCAAAAAAACAGAGACATAACAACATTATTCTTCTAAAAGAGACATTCAGGTTATGTTTAAGTAGGTCCAGGGGTTGAGGCTATCTAAGTCCTGCTGGAATTCTGTTTAAGCTTCTAAAAGAGGGCTGTTATTTTTGAGTTTGCTTATTCAAGTTAAGAATTTTACTCTGTAAGTTACTGATATCAAAAGTAATATTGGATGTAAAAGCTCCCTGCAAATGAGCTTTTACAAGGTTCCATGGATATTTACTTTGGTTCTATTCCAAATTGATCACACAAATATGAATATGATTGAAATGACAGTGCAATTGCTTCTGCAATTGCAAACTTTGTACCTGCTTTCCCAGCCACAGAACAGTAGTCTTTAACACTGCTACCTTTGTTTGTAATTCGGTATTAATTTTATTTTGAAGCATCCATGCCTGGTTGGCTGTATGTGTCCAATTTTCTACATATTGGGCTGTTTGAATAGAACTATGTAGTGCTACTGAGGACACCACAACCGAGGTTATTAGTGTGACTGAGATTACAGTAAAAATTACTATGTTTAAGGCTTTATGTGCACAATGAGTGAGCTGGGTAAGGAGTTTTACAAAATGTAAAGCAGGGGTGGCAGCCCAAGGTTTGGACAAATTGACAGGGATCCATAACCCAGGGATACAACCCAGAATTATTAGAGTGGGGATGTTGTGTGTTTGTATTGTGCTATGATTGAGGCAGTGATACAGTTGACAAGAGTCACAAGTCAATTGGGTGATGTTTACTTGGAGTTGCTCCTTCTTAGATGCTAGAAAAACATAGGAATTAAAAATACAAACCAGCCAGGCGTGGTGGCTCACGCCTGTAATCCCAGCACTTTGGGAGGCCAAGGCAGGTGGATCACCAGGTCAGGAGTTCAAGAGCAGCCTGGCCAAGATGGTGAAATCCCATTTCTACTAAAAATACAAAAAACAAAAAGCCTGGTGTGGTGGGCGCCTATAATCCCAGCTACTCGGGAGGCTGAGGCAGAGAACTGCTTGAACCCGGGAGGCAGAGGTTGCAGTGACCTGAGATCGCACCACTACACTCCAGCCTGGGTGACACAGCAAGACTCCATCTCAAACAACCACAACAACAACAAAAAAACCCCACAAACCATAAATTGGTAATATTTTTTACAAAGGTGATATTAAAACTGTGTTGAGTAATATTACTATTATTGGATAATGTTCTGACCCAGATGCTGTTATTCATAAATGGGAGTGTTGCCTTCCATATTGATTCCTGAATTGGGCCTCTTTTTCCTAGATGACGCCACTAAGGTAAGGCTGGGCTAAAGCCTGTCCTGTGCCAAGCAAGTTGTGCAGTCAACTGGGGGATTGAATCCCAGTGTGATGTGGCGAAGAAGTGTTGAAGGTCCGCCACCAGTGCCAGTGAAGTTTGTGCCAAGAGATCTGATTTTCATCTTTCCCATCTAAATGGCCAAGGGAACCCCAGTCAATGTTTCCCATTCACACAGAGTTGTCTGGCCAAGGGGCCAAGACACTGGGTCCAAGGAGGGGGGTGAGAAATATCAAAGGGAGTCCATTCCGTATAATCAATACAATTTGAGTGATGGGGCCAGAAGTGATTGGTGAACACACCAGTAACATTAATGGAGCTGAGGCCTAATGAATACATAATTTTTCCGTGGTGATTTAACCATGCCTAAGATTGGACTGCAAGACAGCTGCAGTTGAGTGACATATCCGTGGTGATACATAAAGGGAGTCCTTCCAATGGGGTGGTGTAATTGATGCTATTGTTCTGTGTCAGGGGGAGTTAGGGGTCCTGGTGCCCATGCTCCCTGATCATGATATATTTCAGGAGGAGTGTCACTCCAGAGTACCAATCGCACTGCTGGTGGGTTAGGAACATATGCCCAATATGTTTTTGCCTCTACACAGGGGAAACATACCGCACAGGACACTACAGCTAGCATGGCCAAGAACATGGAGTCAGGGGTTTTTGCCTGACCCTGGCGCTCCAGCAGCTTCTCAGCTTCCTGTGTGGTTTTCTTGATCTGTCCCCATGTTATGGGGTTGGCTGTCATTGTGACTCCGGTCGGCCCTCGTTCTGTCTTCGCATTCAGATTCCGCTGGCTCATGGCTCGTACTGGAGGGAACAGGCCCATGGTTGAATACCATGGATCCCTCTGGTCTCCCATTCCATGGTCACACACACCTGGAGGGCACCCACACGGTTTGTCCATCTCCTGTAAAACACAAGCATACCCTCGTCCCCACGTCAGCAAACCCACCGGACCTTTCCATTGTCCCTCTTCCAGGGATTTCCATAACACTTTTGGATAAACTTGCCTCTTTTCCTCTAGCACTTGCCAGTGTCGTTCTGCTGGAGTCTTGCCCTCCATACCAGGAGTCAAACAATTTAAAGTAAACAAGGCAGCCGGGCGCGGTGGCTCATGCCTGTAATCCCAGCACTTTGGGAGGCCAAGGCGGGTGGATCACAAGGTCAGGAGATCAAGATCATGGTGAAACCCTGCCGCTACTAAAAATACAAAAATTAGCCGGGCGCGGTGGCGGGTACCTGTAGTCCCAGCTACTCCGGAGGCTGAGGCAGGAGAATGCCGTAAACCCGGGAGGCGGAGCTTGCAGTGAGCTGAGATCCGGCCACTGCACTCCAGCCTGGGCGACAGAGCGAGACTCCGTCTCAAAAAAAAACAAAAAAAAACAATAGTAGTAAACGAGGCTAAATGTAATTTTGTTTGAGGTGGTAATTGGTCTCCTATTCTCCCTTTTTGTTTTTTCAGCATATGTTGTAGTGTTTGGTGTGCCCGCTCAATAATGCCTTGCCCTCAGGAATTGTATGGAATTCCTGTTTTATGATTGATTGCCCACAATTGTAAAAAATTTGGAAAGCATGACTAACATAAGCAGGTCCACTGTCAGTTTTAAATTGTTTAGGGACCTGTATATGGGCGAATGATGACAGACAATATCGTCAGACATGACCAGCTGTTTCCCCAGTTTGGCATGTGGCATGTAATATATGGGAGTAAGCGTCTATAGTTACATGAACATAGCGGAGTTTGCCAAAGGCTGCTCTCTCTCTATATGTAGCATTCATCTGCCAGATTTCATTTGGAGCCAAGCCTCATGGGTTGCATCCTTCCACGGGTGCAACACCAGGGATATGCTGGCAAGTGGGGCAGGCTTGTACAACAGCTCGAACCTGGCTGCGAGGCAGATGACACATAACGAGTAAGGGCAGAGGTGTTTTGATGCAGTAAAGCATGGGAAGCTTGGGCTTATTGAAATACAGAACTGATGAATTTATCTGCTCTATCATTACCTAGAGGTAGTGGCCCAGGAAATTGCGTGTGACATCAGATACAAGAAATATGAAAAGGGGCAGCATGAGAGCAAACAGCTTTTTGGAGTCTCAGAAATAGGTTAAGCAGTTCTGGTTTTAAGGTGCTCTTGATAGTGGCAGTTTTAATGCAACTAGCTACATTTACAACATAGGCTGAATTACAGACAATAGGAAATAAAGGTTGAGCTTTAAAACTTGAATAACTGCCATTAATTCAGAGTGCTGAACTGGAACTCTAGGGGTCTTTATTATTTGAGTATGTTTAAGTCCATAAATGGCTGTGCAGGTTTTGGAAGAGCCATCAGTAAAATAGGTCTGTCCACCTGAAATGGGTTTGTGATGAGTAATCACAGGGGGAATAAAAGGGTGAATTTTATAAAATTGCAAAATTTTGTCTGATGGATAATGGTTATCTATTATTTCTACAAAATCAGGGAAAGTGATCTGCCATGCAGTCGACACCTCCAGGCCTCAGCCTGTTGTTGGGAATCCAAGGTAACAATAATTTTATCAGGATCATATCCTGTAAGCATTTCTGATCTATGCCTGCCTATTGTTATAAATTGTGTGACTAAAGAAAGATAAACTTGCAAAGATTTTACTGTTTGGATTAAAAAAACCATTCTATTACCGTTATAATTTTGTCTATGAATTGACCTAAAAGTTCTGCTGGAGAATGGGGGGTAGCAAGAAAAAACAAAAGCAAAGTCTTTTGTGGTTGTAGCCGGGAGGCATGTCGTTGCTGAAACATCTGTTCTACAAGCTGTAATTCAGCTTCTGCCTCCTTAGTAAGTTGCTGAGGGGAATCTAATGAAGAATCTCCTTGGAGGGTTTGATAAAGATGAGTGAGTTGATAAGGAGCAATACCTAGCATTGGGCGCAGCCAATTAATATCCCCTAATAACTGTTGAAAGTTATTCAGAGTTTGTAATTTGTTCTTACAAAGAGCTACTTTCTAAGGCTAAATACTTTTTTCAATAACAATAGTACCTAAGTACTGGTATGGGGAGGTTGTTTGCACCTTTTCAGGAGCTATTTTGAGATTCCATTGAGTTAAAGCCCATTTTATTTCTCTGAGTAACTGGTATAATACTTGATCTGTAGGAGCGACCAAAAAAAACATTATCCATATAATGAATGACGTAGGTGGTGGGAAACATATTCTGAGGCTCCTTCAATGCTTTTCCTACAAAATGCTGACATAACATAGGACTGTTGAGCATGCCCTGGGGTAATAAAACTTTTCACTGATCATGAGAGACAGGCTCTCTCTGATTAACAGAAGGCACAGAGAAGGCGAATTGAGGCTTGTCCTTCTTGTATAATGGTATAGTAAAAAAACAGTCTTTAAGATCTATTACTACAAGAGGCTAATCTTTTGGAATGGCTGCTGGGGATGGCAAACCTTGTCGTAATGCACCCACTGGTTTAATTTGTGCATTAACTCTCAAATTATGCAGCAGTTGCCATTTTCCTGACTTTTTTGGGGTCACAAATACTGGTGAATTCCAAGCACTAACTGATTCTTTTGTACAGCCTGCATCCAACTGCTTTCTTACCAGCTGATGGAGTTGAGTCAGTTTCTCCTGTGATAGGGGCCATTGATCCACCCACACAGGTTTATCAGTCAGCCACTCTAGCGGCAAGGCAGTGGGTGGAGGAGAAGTATCAATGACCCCTATCAGAAATTCTGATGCCCTAGCCCTGTCCTATCCGTTTGCCCAGTTACCGATATTGGATTGGGGTTTCCCTGTAGGAACTTTCCCAAGCCTTTCCCACTCTGATATCACATTTCCTTCAATATTTTAAATCCTGGATTATCAAACTTTTCATTTGTGAGTCTCATATCCCATGCTGTAAGTAAATCTCAGCCCCAGAGATTTGCAACATAAGGTTGAAAAGTACATGGCTGTCCATCTGGACCGAGACAAAGTAAAATTTCAGCACTCTGTTGAACACTTTGAGCTGTTCCTACTCCCACTAAGGATGTAGAGGTTAATTGCAGGGGCCAAGACGGGGGTCAACTGTTTTTGGATATTACTGAAACATCTGCTCCCGTGTCCACACGTCCATAGCACTTCTTTCCTTTAATTTGCACTGCACAGGTGGGTCAATTAGAAGCTATGGGTTGGGATAGGTAAATTTCATGTGTAGTTGTACTCCCAAATTCTTGATTTCCTGTTTTCTCCTTTTGTGAAGAAGGGTGTAATTTGCAGAGAATAATAATAATAAGCAATAGCTGAGCAATATATTCCCCAGGTTTAAAAACCCAAAGATGTTGTGACATTACAATTACTTGAATTTCTCTTTCATAATCAGAGTCAACAATCCCAGGGACCACAGTAATGCCCTGTAAGTTAAGATGGCTTTGGCCTAAAATTAATCCTTTATATCCTGTTGGCAAAGGTCCCCAAATGTCGGTGGGAATTTTGGTGGGTTTCTCTCCTCCAACTAACGTGACCCTTTCTCTGACTGGGCGATCTAATCCTGCACTCCCGGGTGTTCCAGAGGAGAGGGAGTCAATGTTCCTCCAGGAACCCACCCCTGTAGCCGGGTTGTGGCCTGGATGGGGAATGCCCTCATTGTTTGAGGGGCTGGGTCCAGGCCCCATTTTCATTTCCTGACAGCGGGGTGCCATTCTGATGAAATTTTTAGCAATATTGATTAGCCCAATGATTTCCTTTATTATGGCAAGGGCAGAGTCCTGGTGTTTGTGTGTGTGTGTTTGGGGAGGGGGCAGGTACTGCATTATAAGATCCCTTCCGCCTAGAGGTCTGATGGCATTCTTTTTTGAAATGTCCAATTTTTCCACAGTTATACCATTTTCCCACTTTAGGGCTCAACCCTTGGCCCTTTTCAGATTTGTTCACTACTAAATTAGCCATTGCTTGAGCTAACATTGTTGAACGATGGAGTTCAGTTCCCACACCTCACAGGCTTTGAGAAAATTTCCCAAGCTCTTTGTACATCTCACAGGTGCTAATGCACATTTACAATCTGCATTTGCATTTTCAAAAGCTAGGGTCAAAGGAAGCATTTTCGCAGCAGCAGTATGAGGAATTTGACGCTGCACTGCCTGTTGTAACCATGCAATAAACTGTGCATAGAGCTCTTGTGATTTTTGCATGATATGCGGAAAAGATTATACTGGGGCCCCTTTCTCAGGAATGGTGGCCCAGGCATGCTTAGCAGCCAAGGCACACTGATGGTAAGCGGCATCTGGAAGTGCAATTGTTGCACCAGGTCTGAATAAGAGTCACTACCCGACAGCATTTCCTCTGTAATGTTCCCATGTCCAGCGGCAAGATTCTGTCTAGCCTGGTCTGCACACATTTGCCAATTGAAATTCCATGTCAGATATGCACTAGCGGACAAACAAGTGCAAGCTAAATGCTTTATATCCAAGGGTGGGAAACACACAGCGCTGAATACAGATTCTAACAATCCTAAAGTAAATGGGCTCTGTATTCCATTAGTAACCACACTAGCTTTTAATTAGTTCAATAATTTAAATTTTACTGGAGTGTGTTCATGAATAAACTGCTATGGATTATTTGGATCAGGCCTTAAGGTGACAGGAAAAGCGCAAGGTCCTAGTGGCTCGCCAGCTATGGCTGCAGCACGCAGAATTTTTTGTATTGGGATCTCTATTTCTGCTACTGGGGGCAGTACAGGCCAGTTCTCATCCTCCCTCTCCTGTTTATCATTTTCAATAGGCGCTGTTGGTGAGACAAAAGATTCTTTCCATTTTTGAGATTCAGAACATAGCTCCTGCTGTCCAGCAGAATAAGAAGGGGACAATGGCAGGAGAACAGTACAGACCAAACCCCAAGCAGAGAAAACAGAAGGATCCACTTTAAGAGCTTTCTGATAAGCTCGTTTCAATCCTTCTCCTACTTGGTCTCAATTTTCCACAGCCAGGGTACCTGTCTGCAGAAACCATGGGTTATGTGTAATAACCTCCTGTAAAAGCTTAATGTTTGAGAACTAACCTGAGCACCAGATTAAGTAAAACTTTAAGCAGCTGCACATAATGTTGCTCCTCAAAAGACAAATTCTGCCCCATGTTACCCTGATTCAGAAACTCCTCAGGGAACTGACCTTATATTCTCCACCTGCAGACTTTTCCTTCCAGGGGTTCCTAGTTCCTCTAATCAGTTTCACTTTCTCTGCTCTGGCAGACCTTCCTCGTTCAGGTCCCTGGTCGGGCACTACTTGTCAGGGTTGCCTCTGGACCAAATGGAGGAGGAAGGCAGAAATGAAGACAAAGACAAAAGGATCTGTTTGAAAGAAGGGGTCAGGGGGCTCCTTGATTCTAGGGAACAAGGGCCCTGAGCTTTTACAGCCCTTCATATTTATTAGGTAGAGTGAATAGGGAGGAAGGGGTAACTGTCAGTCAGCTATTTAACACAGGCCCACATGATTGCTTTCTTTGTTCAACAGGTTCTAGATGTTCCTGTAGATAACCTCAAGGAGCATGGGACCTGGGACATGACTGCCCCCAGCATTCCTTCTGGTGGCAGACACAGTTTGTCAGTTTGCCAGCATCTTGCTTTCATGAGAACAGTTTGCTGTTCGCTCATAGAGCCTCCAGTGGTATATTGAGTTGGTCACGACCCTCATTCCTTCGGCCTCCAACATCTCCCCCTTTTTGTTTTTGCATTAATTGAATAAAGGTAATTTCAGGCTGTGCAGCTTTCAATTGCTGGTTGGTGGTTCACCTGATCCTATAGACTATAAGCAAAAAAACAGAGACATAACAACATTATTCTTCTAAAAGAGACATTGAGGTTATGTTTAAGTAGGTCCAGGGGTTGAGGCTATCTAAGTCCTGCTGGAATTCTGTTTAAGCTTCTAAAAGAGGGCTGTTATTTTTGAGTTTGCTTATTCAAGTTAAGAATTTTACTCTGTAAGTTACTGATATCAAAAGTAATATTGGATGTAAAAGCTCCCTGCAAATGAGCTTTTACAAGGTTCCATGGATATTTACTTTGGTTCTATTCCAAATTGATCACACAAATATGAATATGATTGAAATGACAGTGCAATTGCTTCTGCAATTGCAAACTTTGTACCTGCTTTCCCAGCCACAGAACAGTAGTCTTTAACACTGCTACCTTTGTTTGTAATTCGGTATTAATTTTATTTTGAAGCATCCATGCCTGGTTGGCTGTATGTGTCCAATTTTCTACATATTGGGCTGTTTGAATACGGCGCCAGTGGACAGGCGCCCTGGCCTGAGAGTGCTGGCG